GCTTATAGTTTAGTACTTACTGATGTTAACCTAAAATAATGTTCTTTCTTAGCTGTAAACTGTTTTGTGTATTTTAAATAAAATAAAATATTATTGTAAATAAAACTATCAAATTAGATAATGTTGTGTTTTTATTATCACATACTAATTACCTTACAAAAATACACTACTATCGACAACTATCGATAAAGTTACGAAAAGTGGACCGAACAACCCTAGTTGTTTCTTTGCTAGCTGAAGTTTCAAGTGGTGTTTTTATAACAATCGTAGGATATTTTATCACATTGCTTATACATACTGAAAGATTAAGTTCTTTATTTATTTTATTTCCTTCGAGTATACATTCATTACTTGTAATTGGGCCCTCAGCATAGACGGCAAGTTTAGAACATGTAGAACAAGTAGATTTTCATGATGATCGTATTTATTTTGATACCGGATAAAAAGAAAATATCATTATTAGTATATTGTCGTTTACAGAATGATAAAATATGGTTTCTTTATGAAGTAATATTTTTTTTGTGAAGAGTAGTATTTACGTCGCCATCTTAGCGATGACGCATGTGCTTGCATTACGAGAAGAATATTGAAAATTGGATCAGTGCGAAAAATGAAGGTGGTATGGAGGATATACAGAAGAACATACCAAAAACACCTTTGTATATTAAACACGGGTTTCCTACGTGAGTGCTACAAACGTTACATCGATTTTTTTTTCATCGCCAACCTTTCATCGACATCTCTATAATGCGACGCACTATGATCAATTTTCAAATTTTAGCGGTACAATATTCAACTTTATCAATGTGAAGGTTATCAGAAAAATATATAATACTTTTACTTGAGGGTAAGTTGTTTATATTACAGATGAATATCAGTGTACTGCTATCGGTTCTTAAGATACATTAATTTAAAGTTAGCAATCTGTGAGTTGCAGTAATTTTATTTTAAGTTAGACGGATTTGTAAGAGTTTTCTTTTATTATTTCATTATTTGTTACATTGAATATTTGAATAACAGTGTAGGTTGTGAGTCTGATGCTGTCATGACCTGAGATGATGTTTAGAGGCTTTAGATTAATACTACACCTCTGTCACCCCGCCCTCGTATGGCACTCGTCATTGAATGAAGGTCGTATTCTTTCCCACTGGGCCTGCTTATACTATCGCTCCAGCGCTGAGATTATATTAACTCAAATACACATTGATTTCATGAGGTCTTAGTTCCTGCTATACTGTACAAGAAGTTCATGGTAACAACTCCCTTATTTTCCTCGCTTCTGGTCCCGTTTCTACGAGCAGAGACCTATCAGAGTAGAGCTGAACGTTCCGCCCTCACCTAATAAGGTGCAGTCTTTCCGTATTATTATTCCGGGTCCGTTGGGAATCGACCAGCGGTGGCGCTCGACAATTTTCTTTTATTCAAAAATAAACAATTGATTGATTTACGTAACCAAGGTGTTAATCCAGAACTACCTCATTAGCTCGAGTCACTCACCCTGAATTGTCTGAGTTAGTCGGCCATCTCCAATTACCAATAAATAAGAGCAATTTAATGAAAATACAATTCTGGGTTTTATTCATACTATATCCCTTGTCTTAACAAAATGTTGCTAATTAGTGAAGGTTAGTACATTCTATTTTCGTATTAAGAATTATAAATATGATAGATTTTCGTATCATTAATAAATAGGGAATTTCACCACCGTTTTTACACATATTTATTATTTAAAAAGAACATATGTTTTTAGGAACTAATTTGAAATAAAAAGTTTTGTTATTAGGTCACTGCTATCAAAAACTTGGAATTATTCGAATTATTAACAAAAAATCCTCCTTTGAAGTCGATGTCACAGAAAAGCAAAGATTTATTATTAAACTATATTTTAAACTCTATTGGAGTACCAAAATTAATTTTTGTACAATAACTTTGACATTGTGGCTGAAATCTGCTCAAAATAGTAAAAAAAAATCGAAATAAATATATTGTATGTCTAAAGAAAATAATTATAAGCACTGTAGGTGCACCTTCTAGTTCTTCTGCAGAAGCGACTGGAGGACTGGGGCGTCCGCGAAATAACTGAACTTGGCGGATAAAATCAAACTCAGGGAGTTGAATAACGAGGTACAGTCAAAAAGCAAAGTAGGATTATGCTTAGCTGCTTCAATGAAACTAAGCTCTGAAGAACACAGAAGTGCAGCATCACTCATACTTGATCTTTATGTGTCTCAAGAAGAACCATTATTATGGGATTCTTCTATAAAAGAATACAAAGATAGAAACAAAAAGAACGATGCATTTGAAGAAATTTGTCAAGTCCTAAATATGCCCAAAAAGGCGTGGAAACTAAAATACATGCACTGCGTACTCAATTTACTAGAGAGAAAAATAAGTTGTTGGCAAAAAAACTACAGGCAGTGGCGCAATAGAAAAATGTAATTGGTTTTATTACGAGTCATTGGAATCACACTTAAACTACTTCTGGTGAAGGTGAAACGGATACTATGAATAAAACAGTAAGTTGTTTTTGTTTATAATTTTTTTTGTACTATTGTCTGTAAAATTATCACAATTACGCTACATTATTTTGCCATGGAACACTTCCCTCTGGAGTTATAAAGTAATCGATAAACTGTTCTCTAATACAAAAAGCTGATTGTGATGCAGGCCAGCCCCGTCTTTGCAAATCACTCATAGGAAACGAACCTAGTTCCCTTCGCCATGAACCTTCTAACAGGTTACCTTCAGAGTCTTCAAAATCAAAAGTTTGTGGAGGTGTATATATGGATCTGGAAACTGAGTTACGTCTTAAGAAGTTATATTAATATACACAAGCAATTACCACGAGTTCAAAATTGGCTGGTTTTAACGAAATAGGTTGAGTGAATACACGGAACACCAGCTCTTGATAGTCTGTAATTGAATATACGCTTTTTGTTCCCATATTCATGAATGCCAGGATATGGTTTCATGATGTTCTCCGTTAGCGCGAAAGTACTGTCACCTACAATAACATATGGCATTTCTGTTCCGCCTTGTGTTATTGGTTCAGGACGTGGCAGTTTAAGTGAGTTTTCTAATAATGCATTGTAAAACGATGTTTCCTGAAATATTCCACTGTCAGACGACCGACCCTTAGCTCCATAATTTGCGTATATAAAGTTATAATTGCCATCTGCAATTGCCAGAAGTACCATGCTGAACTGATTTTTGTAATTGTAGTATTCACTTCCAGAATTATTTGGCGCCACAATCATAACGTGTTTCCAATCCAAATTCAATGTAGAATTCCATCGTATTCGAATAACTAATTACTTTTAAACTTATTTGTTTCCATTACTGCTCCGAACTTGGAACCTACAAAATATAAAAAATAATAATAAGATAATAATTAACAGGTAGATGAAAACAATGCACTAGAAAGTGGTATGGAGTTAGAGCCATCTCAATCACCAAGGCTAACATCGAATGCTCCAACATCTACATCTTCGAGGAAAAGAAATAAGACAGATGAATCAAGTGAAATATTAGAGGTTATGAAAAGTTCTAAAAAAAGATGGATGGAAAGGAGAAGAAGGATCCATTTGATATTTATGGTGAATGTATTGCTGCTGAATTAAGAAGCATTAAAGATGACCAGACATAACCGAAGTACCATATTAATAATATACTGTATGAATTAAAAATGGGACGATATAATACATATAGATATCAAACGGCATCTTCTCATCCATCATCAACACAAAATAATGTCCAGGAAACTGAAATAGGGGAAATTGAGAGACAGGATACAAATAGACTTGACGCAATACAAGACAAACCAGAAGATTCGGCTATACTAAACTTAATGAACTATCTCAATGATGAATGAACACAATAGTATATACTGCTTTTTTTGTGTTTTTTTTATTAATAAAGTACTTGATTACACAAATAGTGTTCTTGTACCTTGACATATCCTGATAGTGACTTAATTAGTACTTGACATACATCTGGTATGATGTATGGTCGATAGGTACGCGTGGGCCACATCCAGTAATACATATTCGAGTATAAACTAAGCCACTGTTTTGTCGACGCACGAAACCGAGTGTTACCGATGTCGCACGAAGTTGAACGAACTATTATATATATTACATGTAAGGGTTTATGCTGAGGAGGTTGCCCAAATCTGCAGACTGAGCAATCGTGCTCTGACGTTGTTGCATAGAACAGTTGGCCAGTAAGTCGCTGCGCAACCACCATTGGAATCGGTCTCGATCAATAAATTATGTTATAAGTTTAAAATCTTTTTTTTTAAAGTGGATCTCAAAGTCCCTTGTAACATTGGTGGCAGCGTAAAGGGATGAAACATCCATCCCCGGTACCGTCTCTTAAGTGAATTTCATCGTGAACGTTGAAATAAACTGTGAATATATATCATATTATTCCGTGGTGCGTTCGACTCACTATAAAGGTGGACAAAGTCTCCACTGAATCCAGAAAAGAAATCACTGTATCCAGTAAAAGAAAAGTGAAAATACTGAAAAGAAAATTCAATTATCCTGTTAAATCCACTGAATCCTGAAAAGAAAATCACTGTATCCAGTAGAAGAAAAGTGAAATTCCTGAAAAGAAAATTCAATTATCCTGTGAAATCCACTGCATCCTGAAAAGAAAATCACTGTATCCAATAGAAGAAAAGTGGAATTCCTGAAAAGAAAATTCAATTATCCTGTGCAATCCACTGAATCCTGAAAAGAAAATCACTGTATCCAGTAGAAGAAAAGCGGTAATCCTTAAAAGAAAATTCAATTATCCTGTGAAATCCACTGAATCCTAAGAAGAAAATCGTTGTATCCTATAAAAGAAAACCAAATCTTGTGAAAGTGCTTAATTCCATTCTAAAAATAGAATCATATTAGTGAATTATCCCGTGAAATATTCCGTGAAACATTCTTATCGCAGTTGCTTGCTTGCTTGCTTGCAGTTGCTATGCACTCGTGCCACTGCTCGTATCAGTGTTTTCCTTAGGTTCGTGTATGAGACTAAAACTACCTTCATCATTTAATAATGTTATTCAATAGGTGTTATTTTTGTTTTTGTGTGTACTCAGTGAAAATGCAAGCCCAACTATGTATATTTTTGAAAATTATATTTATATGACTGATGTAAGAGAATGTTAAATTGTTATGAGCTAAATAAAGATCTTAAACCTCATGATTTTGCTAATCATTTGTTTTGATACTCTGAATTTGTATGAAAGAGAACTGTATGAATCTCCAGTTGCAAGATACCGGCTGACGAATATTTGTTTCCCTTTTGGCTATTAATGGACAAATCATTTCCAGAGGATGTTCGAAATCATTTTTCGACATTCTCGTAAAGTTACAAAATGATCCATCTATCATTCTGAGGTCACTCATCAAATTTTCTCTTTGCAAAAGATAGTTTCGAATCCACCATCTTTTTCTCTTTTTTTTATTAGAAATCCTATCTATCAGATATAGAGAACACAACAACATTACCTCCTCGGGCAACATTTTAACGCAGACTGGCGTGTGGACAATCTGTATTGATTTAAACATAGTAGCTAGCAACATTCTCGCCGCTCCCAATAATGTTGATCAACTGTTGCTAAACAAATGTTGACCATGAATTACGGTCCTTAAGCATCAGATCCTTGTAATCCCGATAGTTTGAATCTGGGGATATCACTTTACTTGCCTACATACGATTTTATGACTGTCTCTACATATTTCATATAAAAATAAAATAAAATAAGGTCGGGGCAAAATAAATAAGCGAATTGTAGTAGAAAGAAAACGCAGAATCAAACTCAATTTAAAGAACAACTTTGTTTACTAGTTGATGTTCCCAAGCCTGGATTCGGAAATACGAATGACGGCAATACTGCTATGCGCTTCTTTGTCAATCCGGATATATATGGCCAAATATTACTGGAATTAATAGAAATCTGGTAGAGAGGTTCGGTATTATCTTAAAAACTCTAAACTCTGGGCGTCAAATTTGGAAAATATGCTAAAGAAACTGCTGTGAAATATGTCGAACTTTATAATTGGTATCTCATGACACCAACCGTCTATAAAGTTTAAGTACACGGCAAAAACGTCATCGACAATTTTATAAAGACGTTCGCTTCTATAGGGAACACAACACTGGAAAAATGAGCATAAAATTAACTGAAGACGATCTTATTAAAATACTCCTTTTATCTTCGGATACCATCGTCTCTAATATGAGACCCAAAACTGTAAATAATAAGAGTGCCGCACATTGGGGCTAATATAGGGCATTGGTGATATTAAGGTCATTTTTGAAAAATGAGGGTTGTCGATTATTTACGTTAATTTTGCCTAGTTGAGAGTACATTCTAACACAGAATAGCTAAACGACATCACTTGTTACTCGCATTACTTAGTTGTGATAGCTTGAACTTTACTGTCACAGTTATTTTTGATAAGCGTCAATTGTTTTAATTAATTTTACTCGAAGTTTGAGGTGGTATATTTAACTAATTGAAAAAGTATTTTTTACATCGTTTAATATCAGTTGTTGTTGATACTGTGGTACGTATTATTCAATTTTAAAATGTTAAAATTAATTATTTTTGTAGTCAGTATATCGCTATATAGAAACACATAGTGATTTTTTTTCTTCATTTTGTATCTCGTTGAAAAGATGACATAAGAGCAATGAGTTAAGCACTTTTTAAGTTGTCTTATTAAGTTTAAAGTGTCTATATTACTATTCCAAATTCAAAAGTGCTTAACTTTGTGCTTTTCTATTTTTATTATTTCCTTATTGTTGAATCGATTTATTTGGAGTAAGATGGACTTAGTTTTCAACGTTTAAATAAATATTTTATTATGAATTTTCTATTTTATCCTTATTTCATTAGTCATTATTTGTCAGTTACAGACATGAGTACCCAAAATTTTACTTGTACAAGAAACAATTTAGTCATTATTATATTTAATAGTAAGTTCAAAAATATTAATAAAAAATTTGAAGATCTTGAGATAAGACTTGACAATATTTTTGGTCGAAAAAACAAACTGTAGTCAAAATCATATACAAGACCTAAGAAATGTTTTGAAAACTTTTAAGTTCCAATTTAAAAGCAAATGGAATAAGTGCAGTCGAGTGAGATCAAAGTTTTTATAATCAGAAAATCGATGGCTGGCGGAAACAGTTAGTTTTCCTAAATATCCAGACCTACCTGGTAGACCTACTAAAGATTTTTATAGTAGCAGTGAACAAGTCAAGAGAAGGCGTACTGCTGATATTAGGGCTTCCACTTCGACAAGCGAGCTATTCCACTCGCTCCAGATATTCCACTCAAATGCAACTTAGGGCTGAAGGGCAAAAGCAGTCCGCTGACTTCATTAAAATTGCAATTGAATGTCCGAAAACTGTCAGAGAGTCACTTGAAAAACAAAATATACCTTCACTTTCCGCATTAGAAGCTTTATCCCTTTTAATAGAAGCAAATTTATCCCGAAACGGTATAATGTCATAAGAATTTATATGATGAAAATACTTCCATCTTATAAAGCTATCCAACAAGAAAAGAAGCTGTGCTACCCCGAAGGTAAAATATAAATCAATACGTTTTACAGTATAATTTTGCTTAATTTTTTTGTATTGCAATCAGTACATTAAAAACTATTTAACAATGTTTGTTTTTATACATTTGACTTTTTTTTTCTCAGGGATTACTGTAACTGAAACTCGTGCAGAGGTCTCAGTCCAGAACTTACTTGATCACACTGTAAAACAGATAGTTAAATCGAATAAAGAAGTATTTAATAAGGCTGATATAGGGAACACATTGACTATGACATGTAAATTTGGATTTGATGGTAGCTCTGGGCACAGTCAATATCACCAAAAATTTGTGTCAGATACTGCTGATGATAAATTTATTTTCATGTCTTGTTTAGTACCACTTTAATTAGCAGATGGTAAACAAATTTACTGGAACAATCAGTGTCCATCTTCACCACGTTATTGCAGGCCTTTAAGTATTACTTTTGAAAAAGAATCTACTAGTTTGATCATGAATGAAAAAGAGACGATCGAAAACCAAGTCAATAATTTAAATCAAATAATGGTACCTGCAAATGATAAACAGTTATCAATTCGACATCAAATGATACTATCAATGATTGACGGTAGACTATGCAATGAACTTAGTGATACATCTTCTGCTTTGAAATGTTATCTTTGTGAGTCAACGTCAAAACATTTTAATGACATTGATAAAATGTTACAATTACCGATCCGTAGTAAATACCTTAACCTAGGCATGTCTGTGCTACATGCATGGATTAGATGTTACGAATGTCTCTTACACGTTGCCTACAAATTACCACTTAAATCTTGGCGCTGCTGTCCAAAAGGTTCCATAGAAGATCACCAAAAGAAAATTCGCGAAGCTTTCAGAGCAAAGACAGGCCTTATAATTGATCAGCCTAAACCAGGTTATGGTAACACAAACACTGGCAATGTTGCAAGAAGATTTTTTTCAAGATAGTAAATTATCTTCTGAAATAACTGGCGTAGATGAACAGCTCATACAAAAATTTCATATTATTTTACAATGCATATCAAGTGGTTTTGAGATTGACACTGAAAAATTTAAGATATACTGCATAGATACTGCGAGATTGTTTGTCGAACTGTATCCATGGTATTATATGAGTACCACAGTACACAAAATTCTCATCCATGGCTGGAAAATAATATCTAGCTCTATTCTTCCAATTGGTCAATTAAGTGAGGAAGCATTGGAAGCGCGAAATAAAGACTTCAAAAATTACCGTGAATTTCTATCAAGGAAGTCATCAAGAATCAATACATTGACAGACATTTTTAATAGGATGATGATATCTTCTGACCCCATTTTAACTAAGTTATATTACAGCGGAAATCAAATAGGTACATCGATTTCCTTGATTGAAACTAAAATCTAACGTTAGTTTTTTACATTTATTTAAAAACAGAGAGTGGCATATTATCTCGTGGATATTTGTGAAATCATTGTAGATCATTGTAAAGTTTGCTAAATTAATTTCTGGGTTATAACTGCGCTGTTTTTTTAATTTGAATTTTAAATTTATAGATAATTAAAACACATTATTACATTTATACTAACACAATCAACATCTTTCTTGTTATACTCATATAATAATTAACGATAAACTAAAGGTACGACGTCGTACAAAATAAATACACATTACACAATATTTTTCAAAATTACAAATCGGTTATTGAATTAATAAGATTCACAATTTTTTCGAACCTTAGCTCATTGGTTATAATATATTTTTGGTTATGTGCAAACAAATTCTTAATTATAGTATTAGCACGCAGTACGTTGTTTTTTACATGAAATTGTTAGAATGGAACTTCCCTATAGCATTCCTGTACGTACGCTTTAATTGTCAATGGAAGTTTTATAGACTATTAATGTAGTCTGTGGTTCCGCCTCTTTTCCTTCCCTCCTCGTTGGAGCTGCACAGCCATGTGAGTCTCTCTAATATTTCCCATGTTTGAAATCTATTTAAATATGCAACAAGATGTTTAATTCGTATCTGTAATTTAAGCCTTGATGACGACGTATTTGAGATTGTGCGTGATGTAAAAAGTGACAATACAAATGTGACCTGAAGTAATTGTCGTTTCATTCTGCCATCAACAGTAGTTAGCTTGATTTAATTTAGATTTGAGACACGGCCACATCATGTATACTTATTAGTCTCACCTACGCTGCAAGCTCTACAACAGGTGAAGGTTATGGGCCCAGAAGGAAATACAAGAAGCAACCGTGTGACAACACGTGTCGGTAAATTTTCATAACTTCTAAGTTGCTACGCGGTGTGTGTGCTTGGTCACTTTGTTTGCATGATGGTGCCACTGATGTAATAAGTGTTGTGATGGTCAGGTCAATAATAGCATGTTGTCGTCTACAGAGAAATTAGAAGGCTTAACGAATTATTTAAATTGGAAGTTCGCTATGAGAATGTTACTTACCATGGATTGCTTGTGCTTGTTTAATTTTGTAATTTTCTGTAAAGTAGTGGTTTTGTAAAAGAAGAAAAGTTGTGTAAAATAATGGAGTCACAAGTATCTAGAAGTCATTCAGCGAAAAGTAATATTGTAAAACTATCTGCTGAGCTACGCCCTCTCCTATACGCAAGACATATAACGCAGTTGGAATTATACTATAATGCTCTACATACCACTTCAACATAAGTTCGAAGAGTTTGTCTACTCATGAAGTTAGGGAAATGGGCTTAAAGGAATTATAATCTGTGGGTATTTTATCAGGTTTCAAAATGGGGATTATACACTAATAGGATTATATGTTCCATAATTCTGTAACTGTTTACTCCAGAGTTGGTTGGTTCTTATACTGTTTTAAAGATTATTTTGCTTTTTCTACTGCTACTTGACATGCTCGATTTCACCATGGAGCTGGAACTTTAGTTTTGACTTTATGTTTAGATGCCGATTTATTTCTTAAATTACTTAATATTTCAGTGAACATTTTCAGTAAACATAATGGGTTATTTTCATCAAAATTGATACTTTTAAATGCTATTACGGATGTTAAATAAAATCTAGCCATTTCGCCTGACTATAATGGAATTTATCTTCATATTGCGCTGACATATATTTTGTAGCACCTATTGTCAACTTCACTATAGTAGGAAGGTGATAACTGCCCAGAGGGTCATCATGTACTCTCCATTCACAGAGGGGGACTAAATTTGGCCTCACTAGGAAAATATCCATGGCTGACGGATTTTGATGTGGTCCAATGCTTCTTATATTTTGTTCATTTGTTCAGGCAATTATTTAGATAATTTTGATAAAAGGACTTTTTTGATTCTTTTGGTTGTCAAATGTGCATCATATTTTTTATTTCCTAATTCTACTAATGTTTTAATGGGTTCATTTATTATT